TTAATATTAATATAATAATCTAATAGTATTTTAATAAATATATTTAAAATATATGAATTAATACTTTTAAAATATAATATTTAATAATTAATTAATATAATTTATAATATTTTTATTTCAATAAAATGTACTAATCTTAATATTTTTATTAATAAAATTATAGAAATAATATTGTAATAGTAAATAAATAAATTATCCTAATATTTTAAAAAATAATAATATTAATGTTTATGATAAATAATATTATTTATTGTATTTAATATTTTTAATAAATAATTTTTTTTTAAAATCATCAACTAGTGGAAAATGGTTTACACAACCTCTTCCAAACACCGTAAAACGTTTTCCAGAAAATGTAATTCACTTTACGTAAAACATATTATGAAAAATATTTTCAGTAAAACAAACGGACCCTAAGTATTACTTTTTAATCAGGCTATAAAAATGTAAAGTTATGCACGTGAGGCTATCATGTTTTTCAATTAAATAAAAATGTCATGCCATCAAACAACATGTTTCATAGAATATTAATAAAAAAAATTAAGGGAACAAATCATAGGGTCAATTTAATTAACATGGTAGAGTTATAATGCAAAGAACTAAAAAATGTAGGCATGAAATGTAAATAAAGTAGAATAAAGAAAAAATTATAGACAATTTATAGTAAATTGTGACTAAATTGTATGAAAAATAAAGTTTTGGGTCAAATTAAAGAAAATATTAGAATTATTCGTCTTTAAAAATTTGTTAGTGTAAGACAAAATAAATTAAATTAAAAAAAAAGCTAATTCGAATCTAATATGCAAAAAGATCAAGGGTGTGAGTATAAATGTTAAAATGTTAAAATGATAAATGTATGAAAAATAATCAAATAAGAAAAAGCTAAATTGGAACAATCGATCATAAATGCTAGAGGTGTGAGTGATCAATGTTAAAATGTTGAGAGTTTATCTTTCAACGAATACTGCCTTGTATTTATTCCAAATTAATTAAAAAATTACAATTTTAAGAAATAAAGAAAAATCAAATAAGAAAAAGCTAAATTGGAACAATCGACCATAAATAGAATGGGAAAATATTGAAAGCGTGAGTATAAATGATAAATCTAAAAGATTTTGAAAATTCAATGCAGAAAGACATAAATAAAAAATATCAAAATAATAAAATGAACAATAAATATATAAATTAAGAAAATAATAAAATATAAAAGAATCCATATGAAAAGAAAACAATAATGAGAATAAATAATAACTAAAAAGTGAAAATGATATATTATATAAAGTAGCATACGTTTAAGAAAATATAGCCTTGTAAACAAATCGAACGCACACGAATGGAGGTATGTTCATGTTCGTTTATTTAAATAATAAACGAACATAAACGAACACGAACGAACGAACATAAACGAACTGAATAAACGAACAACACAAACACACAAAAAACTTATTCGAACACAACAAACGAATGTAAAAAAATGTAAACAACAAGAATAACAACTTAAAATTCATTAATATAACCGGCAACTTTAGAGTTAATTTGTTCGAATAAGACAAAAACATACATAAAACATAAATAAACTATATGAACATAATAAAGTCTTAAAGTTAATTTGTTCAACAAACAATCTTCTTGAAATCCAAACAACTTCAATAATCTTCGTAACATATTCAACTTGCCCTCTGTTCGAACATAAATGAACAAACATAAATGAACGAACATAAACAAACATATAATCGAACGTTCACGAACATAAATGAACGAACGAGCTATTTGTTCATGTTCGTTCATTTAATTAAACGAACGCAAAATCTTGTTCATGTTCGTTCATTTAATAAATAAACGAACTTCTCGCCGCACTGTTCATGAACGGTTCGCTGAACGTTCAGTTCATTTACAGGCCTAAGAAAATATACATAATATGATATATATATATATATAAATTAACCATGATATAAAAATATAAGTAGTAGTAGAAAATGGGTATGTAATTAGTATATATAATATAATATTAATAATATAATATATAAAAATAAATAAAAGGGGTTATGAATTAAAAGACGAATCAATATTAATCTATATGAGATTAATACTAAAATAAAAATTTATAAGAATCGAATCTAAAATAAGAACAAAATAAAAAAACTTCGAACAAAGAAATAATTCTCACAAAATCACTTTGAAAACAAAAATAATTTTATTTATCTCTTTCTTTCTAGTCTTTCTCTTTTTTTCTCTTTTCCCCCCTCGTCTCTATTACATAATAAAAGAGTCTATTTATAGGCTCCAAAAAATCTTTAGCTAAATTATACAGTTAATACTTAAACTATAGGTTTTTGTTTGTTTTAGTACTTGAACTTTTAATTTTCTCAAAATCATACATAATGGTTAGTTTTTGTTTCATTTTAGTATCTCTGTTCAAATTTTAACATTAAGTTTTGGAAAAAAAATAAAAGTTTAAGTACTAAAACTACTCAAAACTGATAGTTTATGTACTAAACATATTAAGTTTTTAACAATGGCGCACTAAAATGAAATAAAAACTAAACATTAGATATAGTTTTGAAATTTTTTTGAAGTTTAGGTACTAAAACGGACCAAAATTAATAGTCTAGCTACTAAATATGTATTTTACCCAAGGTCTTAAAAGGAAAAACTCTAGTATATTTTCATTAACGCAAGATATACTAATTAAAAGAAAAATATTAAATTAATAAAAAAATCCTAAATTATCATAAATAAATAAATAAAAGAAAGTATAAAGTTTAATTTAATTACAAATAATCAATAAAATAGAAAAATTCATAATAAATTAAAATCTCACATTTGCCCGAATTTAATTTTTTGCAAATGATGTCTTCACTAAAATAATCATATCTTGAATTCTTAATGTTCGATTGAAGTGTTTCAAAATACATTGGAAAGGTAATTGAAAGGCGTATTATCTCAAGAATACATAATGCCTCGAAAACGTTCGGATCCTGCTTGAAAATTTATTACAAATCAACTGATGTGGCTCGTGCTTTAAAATCAACTTTAGTAAAAAAAAATTGGATCTTGAAAAACAAAAGTAAACCAGATGAAAATCGAGTATTACAGTAAGTATAGGACCTCTTGATTTGATGGAATTTTCTTTGGAGCTACAAATTTGTCTCAATATTTTGGACTATCTTTTAGGTAATGGTCCACAATGAAATCATGCACCAAATGCATTGCTACAATCATCATGATGTTGACGCCCATAATATTTGCATTTAACACTTGTTATGAAAGTTCTTGCCGATTAGACTTCGCATTTTCAGATTTGGAATCCCCCCCCCCCACTCCTTGATTGTTCTCTTGTTGGATATTCTCTATCATTATTGTCCATTTTCTCATTTTTGAGGCAGCAAGAGAAGTATTTCAAGGTCTTCTTTTCTCTTTTCGGGCTGTTTTGCTAATCCCAAAGGTCTACCTTAATCCAACCAAGCATGTCTTTGAAGACTATAATCCCTTAAATGATCACAAATACCACGGATTCTTGATTTACACTACCTTCAAATTTCATACACTTTGTGTGGTCATTTGAAATCATTTTGCTTGTGCATTGACCAATTCAATTGAATTCTCTATAACAATGTTCGACTGTTAAATCCCCTTGCCGGAGTTCTATAAACTTTTACTTCTTTTCTTGTATGTGTAGGTCACCAATTTTGTTCTTTTGGAATTAAAACAAAAAGGAAATTTCAACATTTCTTTTGAGATTGTCTCCCGTAGCTAAACACTAATTTGGAGTACCCTCGTTTACTAATGATACGACACTCGATGACTTCTCTCTCGGAACAACGAACTCTTCAAAAACTTTGACAACGCCTTTCTATCAATACTACGGTTAAGCCAAACCCCCGAGTCTTTCAACTCCATGAGTTCTCAACTTTTCCATGTAAGCTTATCGAGCAATGAGTACTAGGTTTGGTATGTGCTGAATCATTTTTTTAACTGGATTTCTTTAATGAAAATCATAGAAGAAATTAAAATTAAACACTTCCAAAGAAAAAAAAATTACAGATGATAGTAGAGATGGCAACGGGTCAGGTTTTGGTCAACTCGACCCGAAAATTTTATATTATCCACCTGATCCGACCCGAACCGAAAAATATATACTCTCCACCCAACTCCGATCCAATCCGAATTTTTAGAGTATAAATCCGACCCAACCCGATATAAAATAATGACTTAATTAAAAAATAATAAAAATTTAAAGAAATTACATTATTATCTTCGGATCGGGTCGGAGTTTTTTCACCCTCCACCCGACCTCACCCCTTAAAAAAAATCGACTCGAACTTGAATTTTTTAAAAAAAAATTCAACCCTATTAGGTCGGGTAAGTCGAAACTCGTTAGATTCAGGTTAAATTACTATCTTTAAATAATAATCATAAAAAACTCGTACATAAAACAAAAACATTAAATCCAAAGATACAAAACAAAAACGAATCATTCCATTAAGAATAACATCCAACATAAAAAAAATTCAATAATCTTAATAAAACTCATTGTTTTATCAAATGTGACACTTTACGAAATGAGAAAAAACGGTGAACCATATTTGTCTAGCACAATCTTTAGGGATCGTGGTCATTTGCTTTTGCACGGTAACACAAGATGCGTTTGACTTTCCTATTGAACTAAGATGCTACTTGATTTAGATCTCGTCAATAAAAAGATCATATTAAATAATTCTGAGTTTAAAGATTTAATCGAATGAAAAAGTTAAAAACTTAATTGATTGTTTTTAAATTTTAAGGAATTTCTGAATCTTAAACCTATATATATATATATATATATATATATATATATATAGTTTACATAAAAGCCCCACGACGATAAAAGTTCTCATCGTTACATTTAATCAACAAAAGAAATGAAATTCTCATAGTTTACTTTTCATAAAGTTTGTAAAATTATAGTATAAAAATAGCAATATAACTATTGAAATCGCCAAAAAAAATGGCTTCGGGGTTAAGTAAAACCGGGGAGATGGAATCCAACTGCAGAATTATCCCTTATTTACACGGCAGGCAATTGGCATTGCCCCTTGACCGTATACCCTTTGTGGTCAATGTTAATTTGGCACGTTCTACGGAGGAGTCACCGCCTCGAACCTATGGCAACCTCTGATCTTGACCTGGACCAGGTGGTCCGCCCCTTCTCCGCCGTTGATGACTTCACAGCATTGTCTACGTGGTGCCTGTTTATTACAACCAAACGTGTCATTATCATTCACATGTCAAAATTTCAACCTATTATGCGCAGAAATTCGAGGCCACCACATATATTGCAGAAAATCGAGGCCACCTTCCCTTGTTGATTTGTACGTGCACCACGTCTTGTCTAAACTTTAACACGATTGAGGTGAAAAGTCTAAATTAGGCTTTAAGACTTTACCAAAATTCACTTTGTTGCGACGAAGTGTTTTAATAAAATAAATAAAAGACCTACAAAGTGGGAGCAACCCGCACAAGTCAAGATTAGATTTTTTGGCATTGTGGATGTGGACTGATGTCGTGTGGTGAGTAGAAATTTGGTCACCATTTTTGTGCTAACCCCATTTAACAAGTTAAAATGGCAGCCAACCACCCCACGATAACAAGATGTCACCGCAATTATGTTTAGCCAACTAAAAATTGACAGAAAAAAAGAAATGACTTGATGGAGAGTTACTCACCATGGTCCAAATGGCAGGGTCCAACTTGGCACTCAAGACGCCGATGAATTTGACGCCCGAAGCCCGAGTATGGTCCGGCCTCTCACATTCTTTGACCGACTCTTCAACGTGCCTCGCGTATCTGGTCAGGGTCCTATCCCCTTTGACGCTCTCCGCGCGATCCAAGAAATACGTGACGGGTCTCTCACACGGGTCTTTCTCCACGGGTCGGGTGTTAAAAGTGAAGGGTCCGTTTTTCCTTGTCCTCCATGATTGGAACGTTGAAAACGCCGTTTCAAGCTTCTTGGGTGTATCTAGATACGGGTACAACTGCGCGGTGTAGCCCCACGACACTGAAACGGACCGGTTACGCTTCAAGTCGTAACAGAAACTATGCTGTAGGGCCCGACTTGGATCCTTTTCGTAAGCGGCTATTAGCTTCTTAAGTGATTCGATCCGGGTCATACCCGGAAATATGGGTTCAACGTATTCGAGATGGTGAAGTGACACCAATGGTGCCAAAGGATGAGCCGCTAATAAACCATAAGGGTTCCCTCGTATATCAACCTGTAATTAAGCAAGTTAAATGACCGTTTACTTTTAATCTAATTATGGTTTTAGTCCACTTATTAATTTCCGCCTGTAATTATGCACGTTATTGACATTTGAGATTAGATTCTTTATGTTAATATTGCATAATTCAATCCATATTATTTGTATAATGGACTAAAATCAAAACTAGACAATTAATTTCAGGATTAACGTTAACCTGATGGAAACCAAGCTCTTTAGTGACCGGAATTCCAATCTCGCTCATGCAACCTTGAACCTTCTGGTCCGACCCGTAAAACGACGCGTACCGATCAATGCAGCCGTCTAAGACCTTAACGAGCTCGGCCGCCAAAGCGTGGCTGATGGCGAATCCGCCGCCACCGTACGCCATGTTGTAAGAGTGTATCACGTCTTGCTCCACGCTCTCCGAGTTCCCACCAACGTAATACATTTGATTGTGGTCGTATTTGTTCAAAACGGTCAACAGATTTTCGAGGAAAAACACCGTGTCATCGTCTCCCATCACGAACCATCTCACGTTATCCAACCCAAGTTCGAAGCTTTCCTTCACTATCCGAGCCATCCGTACGGCCGACCGTGACCCGTACCAGCATGTGTACTTGAACCTGGAGGTATCCTCAGAGATCTTGTACGGCGGGGACGTTAGCGGCAAGGTTTCACCGCCAGGAGGTTTGTCGTCGAGCCAAACGAACCCGCGGGTAACGTTATGCCTCCACCAGAGTTCGGAGTAACGGCGTCGCTCGTTCCAGGTCTTGGCAGAACCGCCGATGCCGAACAGGACGTGGGATAAATTCGTGGTCGCGTAAGCCCGACCGGAAGAAGTATTCACGGCAATGAACTTCTGCTGCTGGTTTTTATTGAAGATCGAAGAAGAGAACCAAATATATTGATTAGAGAAAGCAAAGTGAAAAAACAGAGAAATGGAAGCAAGGGTGAGAATAGCTAGAATTGCTTTCAACAAGAAAACCAAGAGATCAACAGGTTTGATGGTGAGGGATGAAACAAGGAATTTCCAGGTTTTCAAAGGGTCCAACATCGTTTCCCTTTAAAGTCTCTGATGGTTATAGTGGAAGAGAAATGGTTGTTTGGATGTAGAACTTGGAACGAGGAGGGAAGATATCGAATCCCTTTAATGTCTCTGATCGTTTCTTCCTAAATTTGAGTTTTGGTGATTATGGAAAGGAACACTTGTTTTCTATTGTCAGATTATGGAAAGCAGGAACTGAAAGGTCAAAGGTATACTCACCATTGTCTTCGGTGCATAAGCCCAGAAAGTTCCTCCATTTGGATAGTGTGTCGTCTACTTATTGGACCAAGTTACACAACAGAGTCACCACTCTATTATGGGCTTTATTACTGGCTTTCCTAAACCAGATCGGAGTTTTGCCCAATAACTCCAACTCTGAATACTCGGGCCCTTTTTATTACACTATTGTTACTTTTTCTTGGTCGGATCATTTTAAATTTTAAAAGTTTTGAATTATTCTTAAATTTTAGTCACTTGGGTTCCTCATATGTAATGATATTTGGATTATTTACAGGTAATGACTATATTTATAGATTTAAATAATTTAAAAATGTATATATCTAATTAGTTACAACTTTTAGGTATTATGTCTTTTAAGTAACATTGTTTTGAAATAGATTAAGTTAAATTGATAGGATTGTTTCTAGGAAACATGAGATTCAGATTCGACATATTTTAACTCAATATGATCTTATAGGATTATTTTTATATAAAAAATCATATTGGAGTTCGAGATTTTTAAGGATAATGAAGTATTTGATCTAGGTCTATTTGGGTTTAGAGTGAAAATCTTCAACCCAAATCGAGTATAATAGTACAAGTGTCTATAATTTATTTAAGGATAATTGTAATAATGCCATTCTCTATATTTTTCTCATTTAGATCTCTATTATATATATATATATGAAGGTAAATCAAATACATATGTGTATCTTAAACTCCATTCGCATGATGTATGAAAAAGTATAATACTCAAACCGAATTCCATCTGTTGGATATATGAACTGCAAAACTACACCGTTAGCACTGACTGAAAATATAAACAGTAATTAAGAAGAACAGATTCGTAAACCGTGTCGTGGTAAGAACCACTGCCTTAGAAACGAATTCGCCTCGATGTGTGTAATCGCTGCAGTAGGCGGACCGTCCCCCGAGGTTAACACGGTCGCTCCGAATTCCGTACACCCGAAACCGGAGTGGACTGCTGGTGGTATTGCACTTCTGATCGGAAAGCACTCAGAGAGAACTCACAGAGAGAACTTTAGAAAACACTTTGGTAAGTGAATTGTGAATGTTTTGGAGTGAGTTGAGAAGCTGAATATAGCTCTCTATTTATAGGCTAGAAATAGGGTTAAAGTCGTCCATAAAATTTCAGGATTAAACCTCTTATTTGTAACAGCTGAAACGACTAGATGAACCTGACTCAGAAATAGTCCAGGTTCATTGTATCATTATTCAGCTGTTATAACTCCCGAAATTATATCATGTAACCCCTGGAATTAAATCAAATAACTCCTGTAACTCCTGATATTAACAGCTTGTCTCCTCTGTACAAAGCTGTAAATCAGTCCAGGTACATCTTAACGTTTCTGATTTAATTTAGGAATAAACTGTTTAATTTCTGATAAAAAATAATTCAGCTGTTATTATTTGAAATTCAAACAGTCCTCAGCAGCCTATAAATATCAGTTGATATCTTTCACATTTCCATTTGTTTCTTTCAAAGAGAAATTCCTCAAGAATTTTCTCTAAAAAGATAGTATCCGCGCGGACGTGTCGAAGACACGTATTACCACGACCACGACCACGACCTCGACCTCGACCTCGACCACGACCACGACCACGAGCCGAGCCGAGCCGAGCCGTGCCGTGCCGTGCCGAGCCGAGACGAGACGGACGGACGGCGGCGGCGGTGCGCGAGAGCCCCCCTTGTTCTCTATCACTCAACAAGGAAGTGGAATGTCAAGCCTTAAATACCATTCCCAATAGTGTTTCCAACACTATGTGGGATTGAGCATTACCAACATTCCCCCACTAATGCGAAAGAAATCTTCTGAAACTCGAAAACAAGCTTTCCAGAAGAGTAATAGCGAGATTAGTTGCTTAAGCACTAGTGAACATATCTGGAACTAGTACATAGTGATGATGAGCAATCCTTCTCTTAGATAAGTGAAACTAGTCTGGAACTTTCTAAGATCAGGGTAAACTCATAACACACAACTAACCCCTTCATCCACCTGAGTCCTCGATGTGTAAGATATATATATACAAAAGTATATATTTGGCCATCTTACCTCAGGATTCTAGTAAGTGTGCTAGAAAAATAGCCCAACATTTTTCATAGAAGGCGGCTAACCCTTCTCACTTACATAGGTTATTTCATCAAGTTTATCTCAACATAAACCACCCTTTAAAAAGGAATATGAAATAATTAAGAGCTTTTATAATAGCTCAACCTCACAAAGGGTATGGTGACTTTTTTCAAGTTCATTATAAATGAACCACCCAAACTCTGGGCTAAGAAGTCATTAAGAATAAATATTCAACCTCATTTATCGGTAAATTCAATAAGTCCTTCTCACTAGAACCATCCAAATACTTGGATTTGAATTTATTAAGAGTTTAACAAACTCAACCTTTCTGTCGGTAAGTTCATCATTTCCTACCCACTCACTCTGGGTTATGAACTTATTAAGAATAGATATTCAGCCAAAATCGGTAAATTCATCAAGTCTTTCTCACTAAGACCACCCAAAGCCTGGGCTATGAATTTATTAAGAGCAATTAAGCTCATCCTGGGCATGCACATTATTCATCATAGGGATAGGCAGTAGGAATGTGCACTATGAGTCTTTCCATGGTTTCGTTTGACCACATGGAACTTAGATAACTAAGTTGGGTATCCACCATGAATTCCTCAACCAATGGGCTTTAGACCCATCCCCCTCGACGAATCTAGGACCAGCTTCCGACTTAACCCTTTGGTAAGTGGATCTGCTAGGTTCCTTTCCGACTTCACATACTCTAAAGAGAGCACTCCATTCTTTATCAAGTGTCTAACTGATTCATGTCTTATGCGAATGTGTCTTTTCTTACCATTGTAAGCTTGGTTCTTAGCCACACATATCGCAGCTTGTGAATCACACAACAATGAAACTGGAGGAGTCGGTCTTCCCCACAACGGAATATCTGCTAACAAGCTTCTGAGCCACTCGGCTTCTTGCCCAGCTAGGTCAAGAGCTATAAACTCTGACTCCATGGTAGAACGAGCAATACAAGTCTGCTTTGATGATTTCCACGAGATCGCTGCTCCACCCAAAGTAAAAACATACCCGCTCGTAGAGCTTACCTCATCATTATCAGAAACCCAGTTGGCATCACAATATCCTTCCAATACCGCAGGAAAGCCAACAAACTCAAGTTTCCAATTCACAGTACCCTTAAGATACTTCAGTAAGCGTTTAAGCGCAATCCAGTGCTCACCACTCGGATTATGAGTATATCTACTTAGTCTACTCACAGCATAAGCAATATCAGGCCGAGTATAGTTCATTAAGAACATTAAACTTCCGATTAATTTAGCATATTCAGTTTGGGAAACACTACTTCCTTTATTCTTAACTAGATGTATGCTAGGGTCATAAGGAGTTCGAACAGGGACGACATCAAAACTGTCAAATTTCTTTAGCACTTTCTCTATATAATGTGCTTGACATAAAGAAAATCCCTTCTCAGTTTTGGTAATTTTGACTCCTAAGATTACATCTACTTCTCCCAAATCTGTCATCTCAAACTTAGTGGACAAGAAATTTTTAACTTTGTTAATGGACTCAATGTTAGAACTGAAAATCAACATGTCGTCAACATAAAGACTTATGATAACACATTCAGTTTCAAACATCTTCGAATACACACAAGCATCCGAACCATTCACAACAAAACCAAAACTAAGAATAGTTTTATGAAATTTCTCATACCACTGTTTAGGAGCCTGCTTAAGTCCATAGAGTGACTTTTTGAGTCTACAAACTTTGCCTTCCATACCAGGTGCCTCAAAACCTAGTGGCTGCTCCATGTAAATCTCCTCATCTAGATCCCCATTCAAGAAAGCAGTCTTAACATCCATTTGATGTACCTGCAACTTATGAATAGAGGCTAGTGCAAATAATGCACGAATCGTTGAGATTTTTGTAACGGGAGAGTATGTATCAAAGTAGTCTAAACCAAACCTTTGAGTGAACCCTTTGACGACTAACCTTGCCTTGTATCGCTGAATCGAACCATCTGGCCTTAGTTTCTTCCGGAAGACCCATTTGTTGGAGATTGGTTTGAATCCCTTAGGCAAGTCAACTAATTCCCAAGTATGATTAGACATTATCGATTCTAGTTCATCATTAACAGCGCTTTTCCAAAAACTAGCATCGATAGATCTTATAGCTTCTTCAAAAGTTTTAGGATCCTCATCTAATAGAAAATTTTGAGCTATAGGATCTGAAATGAAGTCTAAATCATTTATCTCAGAAATAAAGGAAGTAATAAAATCTGGTCCAAAAGAGGTTTCAACTCTTTGCCTTTTACTTCTTCTAGGCTCAAAATCATTTTGTTCAGAAGACCTAGCAGGTTTACTAGAAGAAGTTGATGGAATATATTCTATTTGTGTTTCAATATTTATTCTCGGTTCCTTTAAAGGAAAAGTATTTTCAAAGAAAACAGCATCTCTTGATTCACAAATAGAATAATCTTGTAAAAGCATGAATCTGTATGCAGCACTATTCGTAGCATACCCTATAAACACTGCATCAACGGTTTTAGGTCCGATGGTGAACTTCTTAAAGTCTGGCAAGCCCACTTTAGCCAGACACCCCCACACTTTCAGGTATTGTAAATTAGGAGCGTATCCTTTCCACAATTCATATGGGGTAGAATCTAATTTCTTATGAGGAACTCGGTTCAAGATATGAGTTGCCGATAGAATGGCCTCCCCCACATGTTATCAGATAACCCAGAACTTATTAGTAAAGAATTCATCATCTCTTTTAAAGTTCTATTTTTCCTTTCGGCTATACCATTCTGTTGAGGAAAATAGGGGGCTGATGTTTCATGAATTATGCCATTCTTTTCACAAATATCTTTTAAGAAATTAGATCCATATTCACCACCTCTATCAGATCTAACTCGT